ATATTCAACTTTATAGTTACTTTAACTATGTGTAATGTGTATCTGATATGAATAAAACACATCGGCAAATTATATTTGAATGGATTGTTAGACTTTCTTGTGTGTTTTACAAACACTAAATGTATTGTTTACTAGTACTTGTGTGTATTTACATATCTAAAACATAAATGAAGTATTAGGCGGTTAAAACGCTGCATAATTGTGAAAATATGTCACAGCTTTCAGCGGAGTTAAGTTGGTTTTGTTTTCGAAAAGAAAAAACGAAAAATAAAGCAGCACTTTTCCGACGGTCCCTAACTGAGAGCTCTCCTGAGCGCGAGTTCTCCCTGGCTCAGAGCATTTGCGACTGCTTAAACGGAGCAGTGCTCGTTATAACGAGCGAAAAAATAAAAAGACAGCTGTGAAACATAACCTGCTTTGTCTTTTTGTAGGAAACACAGTTTAGATCTTATTAGGGTAAGAGTTTTTTGTTTTAATGCCGTCTATCACTGAATGTGTCAGGAATACAGAAAACTTAAACTGGTTAACCCCGCTCTCCTTCTCTGGCTCAGCGCCAGACACAAAGAAACCAGCACCAGGGACTTTACGGTTCTCACTTCAAAACGGAACAAAAGTAGAATTCTGTAGTGATTCTTCCGCATCATCCCTGTCCTCTTGAGGCGCTGAACTCTGTATCAGTGCGCGAGAGACGGAGAGGGGCGGGTTTTCTCCGCTCCGCGCTGAACTAAAGTCTTCTTTTTTTATCAAACGTCTCCATGTCGCGCAACACAACGAATCGATAATGAAATTCGTTACCAACGCTTTTAGTAATCGATTTTTATCGATTTTTATCGATTTAATCGATTCGTTGTTGCAGCCCTAGTTGGAATCATAATTGACCATGAGCTACAGTGGTCAGAAGAGTCGCTGCTAAGTTTAACCATAATAGAGTGAAGTTTTATCCTTTTAATGCGTTTTTAAAGGGTCATGAAACACCAAAACACATTTGTTGAGCTGTTGACAGTTGTTGTAAGAAACTAGAAAGGTAATGCTGACTCGCAGGGAGAGTATCACAATGGAGTGTCAGTCAAAACACTTAAAGCAAGATCCATTTCTTTGAGTTTTATTTACCAATGCCAGTACATTCTCTCCACATGGTAAAAGACTGGTTTATTTACACGCAGCCACAACACCACATGAGGAGTCCAGAGCAGTGAAAGACTGTGGCACTGAAGCCACACTATTTAAAGGGTTGATGATTAGGGTGATAGGGTGCAGCTGTGGACCATGTGGTAGGCCTTCAATACGTGCATCAAAGAGGTTCTGGAGCATGTCCCAAAGGTTTTCTACAGTCGTATATGAGTCCAACACTGCTAAAAACACTATTAGGACACATTTATTTCACAAAAAAGTGAAAATTGGTTGTTTTTACCAACAGCTTATTTAGATCAATTTAAAGCAACAGGTTTACTCACTTTTCTTAAGTAAAGTCCACTAACTGCTTTTTACGATGCAGCTACAGGCCTGGTGGTACAGTGGTTAGCACTGTCGCCTCAAAGCAATAAGGTCGCTGGTTCGAGTTGAATGAACTAAATTGGCCTTAGTGTGTGTGTGTGTGTGTGTACGTGTTTTTGTGACATATCAGGACACAAATCTGTATAATGACATGGATATGACACAGGTATTACAAAAAGGAAGTGAAATATGAGGACATTGGTGACGTCCTCATTTCTCAAAAAGCTTATAAATCCCACAGGATGAGTTTAATCAGAGAGTAAAGCTGCAGACAGTCTCCTGTGATGGTTGGGTTTAGTTGTAGGGAGGGGTGAGGGCAATACAATATACGGTTTGGACAGTATAAAATGAATGGAAGTCTATATAATATGTGTGAATAAGTCTGTATGGGTGTTTCTCAGTACTGGGTTGAGAATGAAAGGGCATCACCAATGTAAAACATATGCTGGAATAGTTGGTGGTTCAAGCTGCTGTGGCGACCTCTGAAATAGATACTAATCCGAAGGAAAATAAATGAATAAATTAATAAATTAATGACTGAATGTTAGTTTGGAGCCCTCAAATGCTTTTTTAATAAATGACGTTTCACAAACTAATTTCAAGAGGAGCACGTGATATGATTGACTGCAGCTGGCCACTCATCTACACTCATTAGCTAGCCAATCAGATTGATCCAAACTCACTATAAGTAACCTAGCTAAGAACTACTCCCTTATCTTCGTTTTCCCGAAGAAACTCCCCATCCACCCCTTCTCCTTCTTTCCTCTTTTGCCGAGGGGAGCTCTTGAGAACACCTGACCTCGTACTCCCCTCACATGCTCTATGGACTTGGCGGGAGCCCTGGGCTCAACTATCTCTGATCTCAGAGTTCTCTCCCGTGACAGCATGCCAAACCTGCTAACTTGCTAACAAGTTGTCAAACAGTATCTAAGTGTGAACTCTTGAAAAATATGTAGTAAAAACAAACACTTTTCTTATTGCTGCAGATGTACAGGTTGCCAGTATCTAATGTAGAGCCTTAAAACATTGACTTGGAGAAAAAAACAGGTTGAGAACACTGTGTCCTGAGAGGATACACATTATCAGGAAATTGTTTTATTTTGTGAGATTATTGCTAATGCATTCAAGGCTACTGAAAGGGCATGCTTTATGGGCCAACAGTCAGTATTAAGACATGTTATTATCTTAGTATCATGGTGTACAGTTCCCAGCATAAATGAATACACCCTGACAGACTTACCAGAAAAACAACAGTCTCGCTTTTAAATGAATGCTGTCTGTAGCAGGGGTGGGCAAACTCGGTCCTGCAGGGCTGGTGTCCTGCACAGTTTAGCTCCAACTCTAATCAAACGCACCTGCTTATAGATTCTAGTGATCTTAAAGACACTGATTAACATGTTTAGGTGTGTTTGATTAGTGTTGCAGCTAAACTATGCAGGACACCGGCCCTCCAGGGCTGAGTTTGCCAACTCCTGGTCTATAGCAGGGGTTTTCAAACTGTGGGTCGCACAGTGAACAAAGGTGGGTCGCGCAATGTCACATAGCTGCAGCTATATTTGCATTGCGGTGAATCAAAACCAGTACGATTGACGGCAATAACTCAATAACCTCTTACCCTAAAAATATCTAAAGTGTGTTTTCTACAAAAAGACAAAGCTGGTTATGTTTCACAGCTGTCTTTTTATGTTTTTTTCCCCGCTCGACATTACGAGCACTGCTCCGTTTGAGCCCTCGCAATCTAAGGCTGCGTCCGAAACTGCCTACTACTCATTAGGTACTGCATTAGAATTTAAACGTACTACTCGGCTGTTAGAAAAGTACGTTCTATACATTATGAATGTGAAAAGTATGAATAGAATTCGGACGTACTACATCCACCATTTTGTCATGGTCACGTGACCTACCTGAGTCAATTGCATCGCTTTACTCCCGTTCATGAATTTGCTCGAGGGGCATCATGGGATAGCGCAGCATGCATGGGATGCGCACTCTTGAATCTCGCCGGAAGTCATCCGGGTACTTCTCCCATACTGATTTTCGATTTCTATGAATTCGGACATACTACTTGGCTCGCATACTGATTTTAGCGTACTATATAGTATAGAAGTATGCGGTTTCGGACGCAGCATATGTTCCGCCGATGAGTGGTGCTCTCAGTAAGGGACCGTCGGAAAAGTGCTTATTTATTTTTATTTTTATTTTTCTGGCTCCGTCCTGCGTGTTTTATTTAAACACTACTAATTTTCTCTTAAATGAGCACAAACAGTTACTAAAGTAGTCGAATGCTTTCATTATAGATCTTTGCATTCTAACATTAACACCTATCAAACAAAACACAATGAGAGATTCATTTGTTCTCTTCACTAAATAACTATAGTGACTTTAATCAATATGCAAATACAAAAGTGAAATAGATTTTATAGCTTTATTTAATTTCTGGATAGGCCATTGATTTTAATAGGCTAAACCTTTTATTTTATTGTCAATATTTTCTAATATTTTCTATGTATTCTATCATTTGAAGCTATTTGTTGTCCCATGTTTTTTACATCCCAACATTGACATATTGCTAATTAATAAATAGCTATAGTGCGATCTGTTAGTTTTAACGTCAGCTAATGTTATGGAAGGGCATAGATGTTATGGAAAATAGCAATAGTAATGTAACTACCCCCATCATTCCTTCCTCAAGCAAATGTGTAAATATTAGATCTATTCAGCGATATCGTTAATTGCATTGGCATATTTATCTGACCTTTTCCCAGCTTGTAGTAGTCGATCAAAAAGCTGTTTAGTTTCTTATGACTACACTAGCAGTGGAATTTACTGCGATGTGACGGGGCTTGATCATAACCAAGGGGCTTGATGAAAGGTTGATCATATTCTCTTCTAAAAAACGAAGAGTATCTTTTTCAACAAAAAAAATATCACAGTTACAGCCAGCATCCCACAAAAAGCAGTTCGAGCCTCATTTTGTGCATTTCAAATCGCAAAATCTAAAAAGCAGCACACCATATATTTTTGACTGCTTTGAATGGATACAATTTTTGACCCATTTTTCCATATTAAAATATTATGGTGGCTCTTGAGATTGAATTACTTGCCTAGGTGGGTCCCGGAATAAAAAAAGTTTGGGAATGCCTGCTCTAAAGGATCTTATGCTTTGAGATTATTGTACAAATCTAATTGGTTTTACACAAGAGGGGGTTAATAATTTCAGCAACATCTCACTTTGATAATAATTATTATTTAGTTTTTCTAATTCTAAAACATAACCAGACTTTTAAGCTAACGAGAAGAAATGTTTAATACTGTCTTGAAAAGATGCATCAATATATTGTCCATATTCACTGTGAAACAGATACAAATCTTAACAAACTGTATTGTTACGGTATTTTTAATAATTAGCTTTTAATTTTATATTTGAGATTTCAGGTTTCAATATTGATTTAGCTATTTTAGTTCTATTGTACGTGTACTTTAGTATTGTTAACGTTGTTTGTTACCTGTTGCGGTCGTCTCCATCTGTGAGTGTGTTTTCAATGCCGCTGTCTGTCTCCACATCTTCATGAAGCTCTGGATGGACGAGAGCCGTCGTGTCCTCGTCTGTGAAGGTTTCACACTCGCTGTAGGCACTCTCTGAACCCAGATAAGCGCTGTCAGAGACCTCCGCCTGCTGCAAACACACACACACACACTGATTACAACCTTTATTGCTCTTGGAGACATTATGCTTACAGTTACGTCATCTCAGAAGTTCATAATAAAGCAATGGAAACAACTAACTGACAGAGAGAATATAAAGCATATACAGTTGAAGTCAAAATGATTAGTCCTCTTTTTCTTTCCCAAATATTTCCCAAATGATGTTCAACAGAGCAAGAAATTTTTCACAGCATTTCCTATAATATTTTTTTCTTTTAGAGAAAGACTTTTTTATTATTTTAGCTAGAATAAAAGCAGTTTTTAATTTTTTTAAAGCATTTTAAGGTTAATATTATTAACCCCTTTAAGCAATATTTTATTCGATTGTCTACACAACAAACCATCATTTTACAACATGCTTAATTACCCTAGCTTGCTTTATTAAGCATTTAAATGTCACTTTAAGCTGAATACTAGTACCTTGAAAAATATCTAGTCAAATATTATGTGCTGTCATCATGGTAAAACAGAAATCAGTTATTAGAAATGAGTTATTAAAACTATTATTGTCAGAAATGTGTTGAAAAAATCTTCCTGTTAAACAGAAATGGGGCTAATAATTCTAACTTCAACTGTAAACAAATGTTAATAGCAGATCGTTTGGCTTCTGAAGGGAAATGTTTCATACACACTTTATAAGCACCAAAGTGCAAACATGAGCTTGAAGTTAATTAGTTTATGATGAATGTTTAAGGAACAATTTGATCCAACTCATATAAATGTGGTTGAAAAAAACTATGATTATGACGGTAAAGAAATAAATAAAAGAAACATGTGTCAATGCTAATCTGTCTGATGCTTTCCAGGCAACAATGAAGGACCGCCTACTCACCTGTCAATCATCCACTGCACTTAAACAAGAGGTTTAAACTTTAAAAGAGCCTCAAAGAGTAAATAAACAACCCCTTTGTTTGGATTTTATGGTAATGCACTTAATCTAACCTGAATATTTACATAATTTAACTGTATTTCAACAACGAACACTCCTGTAATGTATAATACGATCACTATTAATAGCAGTAAATATTATTCTGCACACTGAAAATGTATAAAATAAAAATTAAATTATGTTTAATATTTTTCAGATTTAAAAAGAACTTTTATACGACTTTTTAAAATTATTAAATAATTTTTTTCTTAATTTTTTAATAAAAACTAATTTTGTGTTGTTTACCATGTCGTTGGTTGGGGGAAGGTATGTTTAATTTTTGTTTATTTGTCATTTTTATGTCTGCTGGTTGTTTTTTTATTTTCTCTTTTTCTTTGTCTTGAAATGCAAGTTTTATGTTTGTATTTTTAAAAGTGTATTTACAAGTGAATGTCTGCAAAAATTTCTAAAAATAAAAATATTTAAACAATTAAAATCAGTTATTTAAAAATACATTGTAAAAAATCCCCTCCATTTTAAGCGTATTTTGTAATAAATATAAGTGACATTATATTTAAAATTATTATTCACAACATCTTGTTATAACAAATATATTTTTAAAAATTTTTATGCAGACATATTTTAAAATAAAAAATCTACATTTTTACATTACAAATAAATTCTATTATTAATGATTTTTATGGCATGCTATGTATATCCATATGTATCAATATTATTCATATTGTAATTACAGTGTTTTCTGTCCGACCAAAGATGAACCTACTAAAGCATAAAAAAGAAAAAAAAAGAAAAGAAATATTTAGTACTGGTCAAAAGTTTGGAGTCAGTGTTTTTTTAAATGTTTTTAAAAGAAAATTATTATGTTGATGAAGGCGACATTTATTAAATGTAAAAAAAAAGTAATATTTATAAACATTTTAAATAACAGCTTTCTTATTGTATGTAGTTTCATTATTACTCGAGTTATTATTGCTTTTATTACTATTATTAATAAAATTCATCTTTAAAATCACTGGAATAAATAATTAAATAAATTATAAACTATTTTGGAACAGTCATTTTACAGTGCAATTATATAAACTTTTGTATACTATTTTTGAATAATAAAATTAATATATTTTAGTCTATTTAGCAAGTGTTCAATGACTTTTTGGAGAGTCTGGATGGTGACCCCTTTGTTGAACTAATGGACACTGAAAGTTCATAGATTAGACAAATATGTTAGTAATGTATTATTTAATATTATTTATTTATTTGTGTTTTTTTGTTTGTTTGTTTTTTTGCTAAATGAAAAAATTAAGCCTTTGTCAATTTGTATAAAAATGTTTATAATAATTGTTGTTTAAAACTTTGTAAACTATTTTTACTTTAAAAAATTAAAGCAAAAAAACATTTTAAAAGTTAATAACTTTTATACTACGCCAAAAATTATCTTAAAAATGGAAAATAAAAATGACAATAAGAAACCTTTAAAGGTCATTTAAAAACACAACAGACTAACATCCAACATATTACCTTGAAAATCATAATAAACCATTGACAAGAGCTCAAGAAAAATCCTCAAAGCATCAATCAGCTGTTTCTAACCAAAGAAAACAGAGCCATCGTAAATCCACATAAACCTCCTTCAATCCAGAACCTGACGTACCTGTGCGAGTCCGAGAGGAGCTCCGAGAACAGGAGAGGCCATTCCCAGAACCATTCTTTCCCAAGTACAGTCCCACAGGAAAAACAGGTTCACTAACTAACCACAAAACTAACAACTACTTCCTATCTCTCTGACAGCCACCAAAACACAGAGAGAGAGAAAGAGAGAGAGAGATATTACTGCTGCTCTGCTTCTGTGCAAAATGAGGACCAAAGTCTGAAGGGTAAAAGCACCAGGAATGGGCGGGGCCTGTTGTCGTGACTCCACCCTTTTCTTTTAACTTGTCAAATCATTAAACAGAATGTGTGCATATATTATGTGGCGGTGAGTGGAAACATAAAAAGCTTACTTAGCATTTCTAGTTTGCCTATGATGACAACAAAATGCAGTCTAGGTAGGCGGCTCGGGAGGTTTTAAGACAGACTATTGCTGTTTTTCCAACATACGGCAAAACATTAACAATTCACACCCTACAAACAAATATTCAGGACACTGCGACAATCATATGATCTGATGAATGACAGGTGTGTGTGTGTGTGTGTTATAGAAAATATATCACCGGGCATATTGTCAAGCTTGTGCTTGTGTGTGTGTGTATGTGTGTGTGTGTGTGTGTGTGTGTGTGTGTGTTTGTTCCTGTGGACGAGGTGCTACACAAACCACCCTGGCCAGTGTGTTTTGACAGCAAACAGGGAAACAGCAGAGCCATTCACAACCCACAGGAAAACATGCAGGTGTGTGTGTGTGTGTGTGTGTGTGTGTGTGTGTGTGTGTGTGTGTGTGTGTGTGTGTGTGTGTGCTTTTCGTTGAAAATGACAGGAAGACAGAAATGGGAAAAATTATTTTGCAAAAAAACAAGAAAAACAAGATTTCTATATTTACTGAATGAATATTCATATATGCAAATTCTGTTGGGAACAATGAGCCACATGTTCAGTTTAGAAAAGAGTTGTGAAATTAACGTCATATTATGTTTTTCCAGGTAATTTTTTTCCATATACAGTCAAGCCCCGAAATTATTCATACCCCTGGCAAATTCTGACTTAAAGTTACTTTTTTTCAACCAGCAAGATTTGTTTTTTGACAACAGCTTCTCCCAAAGCATATTAAGAGGATGAAAAAATATATATATTTCTCATCTTTTATTTAAATTTTAAGTCAGAAAAAACTTGAAGTCAGAATTTGCCAGGGGTATAAATACACTCGGGCCAGACTTTATATTTAAGAATCACATTACATGAAAAAAATGTAATCTCAAACACAAAATACATCATTTTAAATTAATATAAATAAATCAGACATCATTTTGAATTTGCTAGAGTTATATATAACTATGTATGTTATATACACTTGCCACTTTATTAGGTACACCTGTCCAACTGCAGAATGGGGAAGAAAGAGGATTTAAGTGACTTTGAACGTGGCATGGTTGTTGGTGCCAGATGGGCTGGTCTGAGTATTTCAGAAACTGCTGATGTACTGGGATTTTCATGCACAACCATCTCTAGGGTTTACAGAGAATGGTCTGAATAAGAGGAAATATCCAGTGAGCGGCAGTTCTGTGGGCGCAAATGCCTTGTTGATGCCAGAGGTCAGAGGAGAATGGCCAGACTGGTTCCAGCTAATAGAAAGGCAACAGTAACTCAAATAAGCACTCGTTACAACCAAGTAGAGCATCTCTAAACACACAACAGTTCCAACATTGAGGCAGATGGGCTACAGCAGCAGAAGACCACTCCGGGTGCCACTCCTGTCAGCTAAGAACAGGAAACTGAGGCTACAATTCACACAGACTCACCAAAACTGAACAATAGAAAATTAGAGAAACGTTGCCTGCTCTGATGAGTCTCCATTTCTGCTGCCACATTCGGATGGTCGGGTCAGAATTTGGCATCAACAACATGAAAGCATGGATCCATCCTGCCTTGTATCAACAGTTAGGCTGGTAATGGTGGTGTAATGGTGTGACGGATATTTTCTTGGCACACTTTGGGCTCATTAGTACCAATTGGGCATCGTGTCAACGCCACAGCCTACCTGGGTATTGCTGCTGACCATGTCCATCCCTTTATGACCACAGTGTCTCCATCTTCTGATGGCTACTTCCAGCAGGATAACGCACCATGTCATAAAGCGTGAATCATCTCAGACTGGTTTCTTGAACATGACAATGAGTTCACTGTACTCAAATGGCCTCCACAGTCACCAGAGCTCAATTCAATAGAGCACCTTTGGGATGTGGTGGAACGGGAGATTCACATCATGGATGTGCAGCCGACAAATCTGCAGCAACTGCGTGATGCTATAATGTCAATATGGAGCAAAATCTCTGAGGAATATTTCCAGTACCCTGTTGATGCCATGAAGGATTAAGGCAGTTGTGAAGGCAAAATGTGTACCTAATAAAGTGGCCAGTGAAAGTATGTTGGTATATATAGTATATATGTTTTAATAGTTATTGATTCTCAATGAGTCAAAATAGGGGAACTTTCACAAAATACCAAATTATCTAGATAATTTACAAAAGATACAGAATTTAATTAAAATGACATCTTAAATCTCACATTAGTCCGGCTAAATCAGGAGTTTCTTATAAATAGCCAAAGACCAAAGTTAATCGAGGCCAGTGGGCCGAAGTTATATATATTCAATTCAACACATCTTTGAGTTGAAGTTCAGTTTAGTTTAGTTCAGTTCAGTTCAGTTCAGTTCAGGTGGTTTAATTTTTACTGCTTAAAGTCCAAACACTGAAGAGCAAATCTATCGATGCACAAATAAACCAATCCATATTACATTCACTTTGCCTTGAGTAATTTTCTAATTTATTTGCTGATAATATTATTCTATTAATTATAGATGCCGTATCATTTTTAATGTTTTATAATGAACTTTTTATAGTAAAAGCATAAACAATTCCATTTACAACACAATGGAGTTCAATGCAGTATACACTAGTGGAGCTGCTCCTGCCTTTGTCTTGATTTGCTTGCCGATGTATTGTGCATTGTCCATCTGTCAAGTGACAGTATTTACATTTTAAAAGTACATTACATTTTAATTGGATGTTTTTGTAGCCCCTCAATTAAACAAATAAACAAAAGCTTATGTTAAATCTGTCAAAGGCATTCGCCCCAACCAACTCCCCATCATTTTCCTCTATTCAGATGGAATGGGCCTTACTTTGGGCACCTCTGGCCTAAATGAATAAAGTGGCCAAAATGATTCACTTGAGAGCGAATAAAGTGAGCAAGTAGGACATGTGTTTGATTATTGCCTCAGTTTGCTCAGACTGTTCCACAATGAAACATTGAAATGCAAAAAAAAAAATAGTGGAAAAATAAAAACTCTGAAAAAGTGAGCCAGCAGGAGGCACTGCAGCAGGAAAATGAGCATGCTGAGTTTGAGATGTGCTGAGCTCGACTGTGGTCTTTTAATCTTTTGGGGAATTTGAGGAATGTGCTGCTCTGGATTCCATCATTCTGCAATCATGGGGATCCTAAAGTTTATTACATGCTGATTCTGATTTATTATATTTGTCATGACGAGAGGAGGATAAATGGACACAATAACCACAGAATTGCTGTTTAATACCTCGTCATATTCCTCTGGAGGTCCACTGGCTTCCACTGCGCTGAGATGAGTCTTGTAGAGCTCTGGATCAGAGCCTGAAAATAAAATATGAGAAGATACATATGGATTATGGCAGGACTCCTGATAACTGTGCATAACAATGCTTGTTTTGTTATACTAATATATAGTAATAAACTTTTTTTCCTCAATGAAATACACTGCTGAGCTGTTTGGAGTGCAGGAAAGGTCATTTATAAATGTTAATAGTCTGTTTCAGCTAGCTGGATTATTAATGAATGAGAAGATCTTGGAGACCAACAAGCATAGTTTGGGGTTTGGATTGGGAGCCTTGTTTTTGAAATGTCCTGTACTGTAACAACATGGTGTAGATTTATTCAGAGTTCATCTAGAGGGTTTCCTGCTGGTGTCATTTTGCTGCTACCAATGCTTATTTTTCATAGTAACTATTTTTATGTGTTTAGAAATGCTCAACCATGTAATAGATAGTACGGTATGGCAATGAAGCCTAATTTATACTTTCACCTGGCACTGTGTTGCAGACCTCTGCTGACTGCGTGTGCATCTCAGAGAGAGAGAGAGAGTTTTAATTTTATTGCTATGGCTTTGTCATGGCAAAAAGAAAATAGATCAAGTTTATCAAGTTTTATAAATACTTATTTCTATAATTATAAAAAATATTCTAACAATTAAAAGTCATCAACAGGAAGAAATAATTTCCAAAGTAAAAAACATAAATAATAATAATAATGATAATATATAAGATAAAAATCTAAAACAGTTTAAGATTTCCTTTTGATAAAAAATTGTAAAATTTTAGATGGATTCACGTTCAAGAATATTTGCGTGTGCACCTCAGGAAATTAAAAAGGCTTTTATACTTGACATATTCGCCGTTGTGGTATTCTTTATATATATATATATATATATATATATATATATATATAACAGGGTTCAACACTAAGGATTTTTTTTACTGGTCCAATTGGGCCAGCGGTTCAGATTTTTACTTGCCCTGCCAATATTTTCACTGGCCCCACCAAAAAAAAAAGAGGAAAAGTTAATAGTTATTTCTCAGCCATGTTTTAAATATTGTGTCAAAAATTGTGTTTGAATCTTGAATTTAAATATTTTTAAAATGTTCAAAAATGTATAATGAGCAAATTGTTGCGTTGTACCCACATGAATGTCTGCTTCCAAGACATTATTTTAGCCTTAATGTTGCCATCACTTTGCTGAACTGGTTTTTAACAGGTTACAAAAAACGACATGCTCACAACATCCAATCAGATAAGAGGAACCGAAAAGCAATTTGGTGTTTACGACATCACAGAGAAGGTGGCTTTTAAAGGCTTAAATGCACGAACTGTCTCTCGATTCTAAGACTGTCTTCATACGCAATTGACAAATAGTAATAGGTAAATTAAACTTTTATGACAAGGCAGCACCTTGCCATTAATCCAGTATCCAGTAATCCAGGCCAGTTGTTTTTTATTTCAGTCACTATTTCATACCAGAAGGTCTGTATTTTTGGGCAAGCCGAAAAAACGTGAAAATGGTTAGCCACTGATGTTGCACACTGTCTCAAACAAGAACAAAACATTCAACACCTGTACGCAATGCTGACAGTTTAGGAGGAGTTATGAAGAACCTCATCAGATTTTTCCATCCAAACTCTCTCCAAGGTCTCGAGTTTGTGGTTTTTAAATGTGACACACATATATGTTCAGTCTTCCTCTGTTATTTGTTAATTTGACTCTTTCTCCCAGTTTTGTTTTATGTAATTTGATGAATAAATCTCACTGTTTTGTATGTATGCATTCATTATTATTATTTTAATAATTACGATTTTTGCATTTGTGCATATATTTTAATGACTTTTATATAATGGGGGTTCTTTGGTTGATGTTTGGACAATAATACAGTATATAGATGTTTTGCAACAATAAAATGTCTCTGCAAAAAAAAAAAAAGTAAAATAAATATAATGTAAATTACTGATAGGTTAAAAAAAATAAATAAACTTTAAAAAAGCCTTTTTTAGGGACATTTTATACTTTAAGAAAAATCTTTATCGCAATACTCAACAGCAAAATTGTATATTCCATATTTTTCCAGTATCGTGCGGCCCTAGTCGAAAATCAACACTTTATCGATGTCAAAAAAAAATCCCTCAAAATAGCAAGACATCACTTTCTGTCATAATCTAAAAAAAGCTGCGTTGTCTTAATCCAATTCTTGGTCGAATATGAACGTATCCAACATTTGGGTTAACATCAAAATTAACATTAATTTGAAAAGTTAACTGAATAGTTGGCTATATCCATTTTGGGCCAAGCACTGGGTTTAAACAACTCAGATTTACAGCCATTCCAGTATCCATATGACTAACCATACTACTAACTGTCATTTTAAGTAACGCAATAGAGAATTTTCTTGGGAATAAGAAGCTTTCTTGATGCGGTCAGTATTGTAGAGCACAAGCAGACAGAGTGATATTCTCCATTATTCATCCATTAATGATGGGAGAAATCTGACTCGTGAAACACAGGACGCACAGCAGGCCATTAGAAACATGACCTCATCTCATTACTGAAGTTATAGGAGAAAACCCTAGTAAAGTGCTCTAAACTATCCCGCCATCACCATAATAGGTTTATAGAGAGATGTGAGTGCATATGCCCACTACAAACAGTAAGACTGCGCTTTGATACCTAGTTTGTAGTCAACACAGAGCACATTATATTTTAATATATATATTTATATATATTTTAATAACGCTGTCTATTTATTGCATTATAATTATTACTTATATCTTTGTATTAGCCCCCCTGTTAAATTTAAAGTCTATTAAAATATTTTCCAAGTGTTGTTTAAAAGACATTTTAAAACACATTTCTAAACATAATAGTTTTAATGACTAATTTCTAATCAATACTTTTCTTTGTCTTCGCCATTATGACTGCATATAAGATTTTACTAGTTATCTCGCAAAATACTTCGTCATAAAGATCAATTTAAAAGGCTTAAGCGGGTTTATAAGGTTAACTAGGCAAGTTATGCTAATTAGGCAAGTTATTATATATTTAAATATATATATTTATTTATATATAAAGTCTAAATAATAATATTTAAATATTTTTTTAATTTAATAATAATATTGACCTTAAATTGTTTTTAAAATGTCAAACATTGATTGCTTTTTTTTATATGAAGAGGAGAAAGTGCATCCTACAGGTGGTTTGTCAAGCCCACTCACCTGTGTGGAGCACACTCAGAATTGCATAATGTTTTCCAAGTTGTGTGTAGGATGCTTATAAGAAGGTGTCTAGTTCATATGGAAAGAGTGTGTGACCTACAGTTGCTTTGTCAAGCCCACTTACCTGCACTAAACACACTTAGACTGATTTTCTCTTTATAAGGCCGCAATGTACCATTAGAACCACAGATTTTACAGTTTGTTTTGCCTGTATGTGTTTTTTGATTCTCAGAAGAGATGCTAACCATTAAGAATCACAGTTTCAGCATAAAATCATCTTCTACATCCTATTGAACAATATTAAGACGCCTACACCTTGAATGGACTGAGGATGACAAAATTAACAGCTAAATTTATTTATTTTTTGTTGGGTGAATTAATTTTTTCGTGAAATGCTTTGCTCATCAACAAGTAAAATACCTTCTAAATAAGACTCGCTTCTTTAAAATATCCTCAAAACTCCCAATTTTTTGGAGGGATGAAAATGTGGGTGTATGATGTGGCAGTGTTAACTAAATAAAGGTTGGTTAAATGATTTTCAACGATACTTCTGCAAGTACTACATATTATAAGTGAGATGTAAAAATACGCTACAAATATTATTAATAATAATAACTACAACAGTAATAATATACACACTAACACACAATAACGAATTAACAATTGTAACTGCAATGTGGTATCATATTATGTATCTTTAATATCCAACTGCCTTAAAATAAGACGCTGAATGGCCTGAGGATGACAATATTAATAGCTGAATGTCATTTTTGGGGTGAATTAATTTTCCTGTGAGGTCTTTGCTTATCAACAAATCCCTTCCAAACGAGACTCACTTCTTTAAAAGATTCTCAAAACTCCCAATTCAGCCACGTGATCACAGTGAGTAATGCACAGACGCTCTGACTCATGTGTTTTTCAGCACAGAATTTGATCTGAAACGCTCTATCAGTATTAAATAATGCCAGATCATGTTAAATGTTTGCTTTTTGACCAAATTAACAAATCAAATTCTTTCAAACATGAAAAGTTTTGCTCCAAAATGACTTTAAAAAGCTGCATGAAGGAAGTAAAATGTTAGTTCATGCATTTTCTATCCTGGATTAAAAATGGCTTGTAGGACATTTATTAATGAATTATTATGATTATATAATGATGAGATTAATTAATGCATTGTGAGTTAATATGCACTATCTATGCATGACTTTATCTTTGTCAATAAAGATGAATAAATACGCTAATAAATGTGTTGTTTGTTTGTTTATATAAGTAAATATATTAACTAATGGAGGACGGCGCGGTGGCGCAGTGGGTAGCGCTGTCGCTGGTTCGAGCCTCAGCTGGGTCAGTTGGCTTTCTGTGTGGAGTTTGCATGTTCTCCCCATGTCAGCGTGGGGTTCCTCCCGGTGCTTCGGTTTACCCCACAAGTCCAAAGAGATGCGCTATAGGTGAATTGGAGCTATATTGTCTGTGGTGTATGTGTTTGAGTGAGAGTGTATGGGTGTTTCCCAGTGATGGGTTGCAGCTAAAAGGGCATCCGCTGTGTAAAACACATGCTGGATAGGTTGGCCTTAATTCACCTTCATTGCTGATTGCACTGATGCCTCTGTGGAAATCCTCAAAACTGATCACACCCAGACCGCTGGGATCCAAGAACCGCGTCAGATCCTTCACCTGTAACCACAAACAAACAGTAAGCACTTAAACACACACAATACACCACTCATCTTAAACAAACAGAGCAGCATCATAGTCTACATCGGTGGTAGCCAAGAATTTTTGAACTAAAGTTGAAGTCTGAATTATTATATATTTTTTCAGCACATTTCTAATCATAATAGTTTTAATAACTCATTTCTAATAACTGATTTCTGTTTTGCCAGGATGACAGCACATAATATTTGACTAGATATTTTTCAAGACACTAGTATTCAGCTTAAAGTGACATTTAAATGCTTAATAAAGCAAGCTAGGGTAAATAGGCAAGTCATTGTATAATGATGGTTTGTTGTGTAGACAATTGAAGAAAATATAGCTTAAAGGGTCATGACACCCTCCACTTTCTGTTGAAGTCTACCTCAGAATTTTTTCAAGAGATGCATCCTAATGGGCGTGGAGCTCCACGAGCAAAGGGCAGGAGTGGGCGTGGCCAGCAGGGGAGAAGGAGGAGAGCGAACAACTGTTGTCAGTCGGTTCACAAAATGAGACACAAACCGTGAGGAGACGCATGATTTTATAGTTTACAAAGTTAAAATGGAAAGAAATAAACAGTAATTTAATGCCCTGCTACATTTGTTATTCGTAATAATTTCATATACAGATAACCACAATTTATATCATTATAAAGATAATCGTGTTCATATAAACACTTTAAATGAGGATTCTCCCTCAGTCCTCGGGTCTGAATGCAGACTCAGTGCAGCAGGTCTCTTGCCCTGTCTATTTTACCCATTAGCCCTGCTGGTAATCTAGAAGATTTAGGCAAACACAGCAACACAGCGATGTGTCTAAATGTGAATGAACTCCTGATAAAAGACAACGTTCTCATACAGCTTTGCTGTAACGGCCCTGACAGCATCGCGGGGAAAAACATGCAAAAAATTCAATAGATCATGGAAGCAAACACACACAAGCCTTCATGAACCGCTAAATACTGCGTGCTGTGGGTCCGTGGACGCGGTCTCACCCAGTCATCAACATGTCTCACAGTTTGGCACTGGCAGGTCTGACTTGCCTTCGGAAAGCACAAGCAGTCATGAATAATTATGAAGCAGACTCTTCTCATAGGATAAGGAAACTTTGCTATGAATAATAATGAGAAACCGATGCCTCATCTTTGCACTTGCAGATTTGCGCTACGTTGCCGATTTTGATCCGCCCCGAAAATCATTTTAAACCCGAAAGCTGAAATTAGCTGACAAAAGCTCAAAATTACCCAGTTTGACAGGTGCTAACATTCTCTTAACTGATGCTCAACACACACAAATCAGTTTAAATCTAAAAAAAAAGTACTTGAGGGTTTCGTGAACCTTTACAGGGGCTAATAATATTGACCTTAAAATGGTGTAAAAAAATTTAAAGCTGCTTTTGTTCTAGCCAAAATAAAACAAATAAGACTTTCTCTCCAGAAGAAAAAATATTATAGGAAATACTGCGAAAAATTCCTTGCTCTGTCAAACATCATTTGAGAAACATTTGAAAAAGAAAAAAAACAAACAAAAAAATTTAATAAATCACAGGAGGGCGAATAATTGTGACTTCAACTGTATGTACAATCCACCAGTTTAACCATATCTAATCCATTTTTCTAATTTTTATTTAAAAAAATATCCCCTCCTCCGAGTTCATCTGATTGGTCCACTGCTTTCGACAGTGATGAGCAGCTCTGTGTGTAAAAGTTAAAATTCTCTTTTAACTTCACACAGCATATAAAAAACGCAGTGCCCATGTGTGAGGGGCTTTAAAAAATACGAGGTGAGAGAGTAATGTAAACGTGTTCGTAAAGTGCATGTTAACATAAATAAACAACATAAAAGTAGCGCATTGAAAAGAAAAAAACACATTCTGTGTGAACCACCTCCTATACTTTGCTGGATACGGTACAGTGCTCAGCATATATCAGTACACCCTCACAAATCTCTCTTTTAAATTCATACGTTTATTAGGAAGCTCTACAATATTATATTTGAGCATATACATTAGTTTAGTAAGCCCTGAAGCTGAATCTGGAGCTTATCTAATAAAATAACTTACGATAACGGTGCAAAAACTAGTACAGCCAAATTTATATGATATAGAAAAATATTAAATACAAATTAAAAGAGGAAAAATAAAGAGAAGCAAAAGAATTTGAAAAAATGTGATGGTTGTAATTTTATTTGCAGTTTGCAGCTTGAATTTAATTGTGTTATTTTTCAATTTCTAAATATGTTTGGTGACTAAATATTATTTTAATAAATATATCTGTTTAATAAATCTGTTTTGTTTAAATGCACTAAAATACATTGCCTATATTCACTGAGAAATGGAGAAATATATTCATTTTCAAAATGCGGTGAACTCAGTTATGCTGAGCTCTGTATATCATCACTATGGAGAGCTGTATATGTCAACGTTTGCCGCAGTTACCCATACTAAAAATAAAACCAGCAGTTGGATAAAGTGATATATGAATAAATCATGATGTATCTCTTGTACTTCTTGTGTATTTTTGACATCTAGAAGTCGATCACACTTGACAGGTTGGCAACCACTAGTTTACATTATCATAGATTAACTAAACACACAGCCTCTCTGACAGAAGAAAAAGGAAGAGATGGATTTAAAAGTTATTTTTTTCAAGCACAAATTCATGATAATAATAAATGATCATATTCATTTATGTACAAAGCCCTCAGATAAATGCTTTTGGAAACTTGAGGTATAACTAAACAAAGACAAAAGTCTGTACATCCCTGATATATGCTGGTAAAACAAAAACATTACCTCTTCTCTCTCTCACACACACACACACAGTCAAGCTACACTCCAATGAACAGACACAATCACATACAGTCAGTAACCAGGCAACCGCAGACCTGATATCCAGCATGACTGTCGTGAGCTGTAGAATCGGTTCTCAAAGAAAAACTCTTACTGAGAGATCAAAACATATTAAATATATTATTTATATCACATATTTATATACATTTCAGGGCTCGAAATTAACTTTTTTACTTGGTAGCACCGGTGCTCCCAACTTCAAATATTTAGGAGCACCAAAAAAGTTTTAGGAGCACCAGAAAAAATTTAGGAGCACCCACCAAAAATGAATGAGCACCGCTGCAAATAGTTTTTTAAAGGATTTATTGTATTTTAAAACAACATTAATAGGACTGACAAAAACCAGAAACAACTATCTAACTAAAGCTGCGAAAACATTGATATTTGTGTGCAATAATTCCAAAATGAATGTCTAATAATTAGGCTATAGAATAAAAATAATGATAAAAATTGACAATAATAGTAACAATGAACTACATTTCTCATTATGATACTGCCTTGAATGTGCATGAATGTAGGTTATCTGCTATAAAAAGTCTGTTACTTTATGAAAAATAATTGTATAGTTTGCATCAAACAAAAATGAAGCATTGCAGTAAGAAATATTTATTTTGTACTGCTGTTTTTATATGCATGTCAATTTAATAAATAATATTTCTGCTACAAAACAAACAAAAGATTATAATAAATCATTCAATTCAATGATGAAAGCTGCAAAGCAGTCATCAGTAAATAAAAAATAATAATAATATACACCTCAAAAAAGAATAGACAAAAGAAAGTAAGTAAAGTCTCACTTCTATCACTCTTTAAAAGTTTTGGTTTCAGTTTGTGTCAATTTAAAGGTTCAGTCTGAGATGATCTTCATTTTTCTGTGTTAGTGGAAAAGCAAGCGATTCAGCCGACCCAATTTATGAGCAGGCAGAGCAGGATTCTTGCGCTAACCATCGGCGCAATACCGGTCTTTGTTATGAGCCGCAGTTTCAGTGTAAACTTAGTAAAGGCGAGCTTCTTTGGCGATGATATGTACATTATTAGATTGGACTTTTAGCGGACATTTGCGCTGAACACGCAGTGAATGCAACGCATCGAGATTCGGGCGCCTTCTCCAAGAAGGGCGCTCGATTGATCTCAGCTGGCGGATCAATATTCACCACGTGACGTGTCATGATCGCTCTCATCTGCGCCTCAACTTTAAGTGGGGTTTGCAAACCTGTGTGCTTTAAGTTTTTACTCTTCAGCCGTTTGCATTTCCCGTGGTCATAAAAGCTCCTTCCCTGTCATCTGACAGCGGAATACCTTGAGTGATTGACAGCTAATATGAACCAATATAGCGGCTTGAAAGAGCAATTCAGCACGTTTTTACAAAAAATCAAAACAGGTCGCACTACAACCATTATCTGCAGTCGCACTAATGCGCCCAAATATATTATGAGGTCGCATAGATTAATTTTCGGGCGCATATGCGACCAAAATGTTCGCAATTTTGAGCCCTGCATTTATATAACATACTTTTAAAATGGTATGTAAAATAACACTGAAATAAATAACTTTGTCTTAAATAACTTCATAAATAACTAACTTCAGTTATTCATTCACTCATTTTCTTTTCGGCCCTTTATTAATCCGGTGTAGCCACAGCGGAATGAACCGCCAACTTATCTAGCACGTTTTTACGCAGAGGATGCCCTTCCAGCTGCAACCCATCACTGGGAAACACCCCCACACACTCATTCACACTTACTGTATACACAACGGACATTTTAGCCTACCCAATTTACTTGCACCACATGTCTTTAGACTGGGAGAAACCGGAGCACCCGGAGTTACTTTAGTTATTTGCCAGCAAAACATTCAATTTAGTTAATTTACTAGCTAAAAAGAAAAAATCAACAAAACTGAAATGAACGTTAAATGGAACAAAATGGTGAAAATTCTGTCTAACTTAAGCTATTTGTCAGCTAAACATTTAATATTTTGATTTACCACCAAAACATAGCAGGATTACAAAGTTAATGGAAAAAACTGTTTGTTAATAGATCCTTAATAGATTTGAATGTTAGTCAAACTGATCCCTAAACATGGAAGTCTGAATGCAAATGTGATATTTTAGTCCTAAAAGCACCAAATTA